CTCAAACTGGACTTCCTAGATCATATTTCATCTTCCAACCTGTGGCAACATGCCCCTCTCATTTTTCTAATTCAACGCATCTAGCAGTCTGAGCATCCGCTTAGGCAGGATGAGTCAGAGATACCTAATTTGGTTGCTGACAACTGATTGTGAATGATTCCATTAGGCCACAAGCTGTAAAACAAAATGGCAGCAAACTAAATTTGAACAATTTTGCCAGTTCTGCAGGAAAGTATCGGCATGGAGAAAGAAGAAACACTGCATTAAGGTTGTCTAAACTCTTTCATTAAAGGCAACAATGTCTTTGTGATCAGGCAAACAAATCATTGCAAGTGACTAAACTCAGAGTTCCAGACTATGAATTTCTAAATAAATAGAACAGCCTCTGATTGTGATCTGGAAATCAGGTTAAGGCACACCTGCACACAAAGATATACTAGACAGATGACAATAAAAAATAAATGAGCTTCTATACACTTATCTGCACAATCACTACACAAAGTATTCCTTCTCTAGGCCTAGGTTCAGACAGTGACAAGAGATACTAGCCTTTTGTCTTACCTTGTACCACCTTTCTTGTCAGGGGAACAAAAGTACAGACAACAAACCAGTTAGATGGCTCACAACTTATTACTACTGTCACATTTAAGAGTCTTATAGTACAATGGTGTTTCAGACCTAATCAATTATTGACTGGGGCTATGCGAAGTGCACTAGGAGTTCACAGACTGAACGCTGCCTTGCATAAAGCCGTTGTATTTTAGTAGTGTCTTTCTGCAAGATGCTCTCAGCCGCATATTGCTCCTGACAGACACACTGGGGTAAACGGTGGCTTCTGCTGAGCCAAGAGTGAAACTTATTGTCACTCTGTCAGATTCAGATTGTCTTTGCATTTGACAATACATGCTCTAATTTCCATATTTTCTTGCCATCTGACTCACACTGTTTTTTTTTGCTTTTTTCTCCTTCTGTATCAAAACTTCGATGTAAGAGAAAACACAGAGAGCTGAGAAGAGCAGTGAATTTTAGAATCGTAAATGTGCAAAGCTTTGAGAATGATCTACTGTAGGAGGAGTGGCCAACTCACAAGACCATGAAGATGAGATAACCTCAGTTCAGCACTCTTGAATCAGATGACTAATTCATAGCCAGAGGCAACAGTGATGGATTATTCCAACAAAAAGTTGTGATTAAGACTTTTACTGCAGATACACTGTTCTATTAAAATCTGCACTGATCAGGATTTTTGGCTAAAAGATGACTCTCCCAGCCCCCTGGATATTAATGCAACAGAATCACTCTCTTTACCCAAATTAAATTCTGGTGTTGGTTATAGTTCATTGGCAGAATATCTCCAGGATGTTCCTGAATGTATCTCTTGGTATATTACATTTCTTTTAACCTGCCTCAACTAAATCAAATTCAGTTAGTGATTTCTTACATTTCCTAAAACAAATTTTGAAAACCCTTCAGAGAGTGTGCCTGAACATCCAGCTATTACAGCGATCATCACGTAGTAAAAAAACAGGGAGAAACTTTCAAACTGGACAACCTGGTACTGTACATTATACTATACTCCTCTGAGATGGATTCTTTCATTTATAATCATTAAACCCAGAAGTATTTGCTGCGTGACTCTGTGGTCAGACTGACATTTTGAATAGTTAAAAAAATATTTTAGCACAAAACTAAGCTGGAAATACTGCAGCAGAAAAACTGTAGTCAGTGTCCTAAGAATACATGCAGTGACATAATCCTACATTTGGAGTGGTACCTTGCACATTGCAAACTAGGTATTGTTTTTTAATAAATGTATTAGGTTGAACTTTTCTATTAGAGGTGAAATATATAACTTGTTCTTAAGGGCAGCGAGTGAACACTCAGAGAAAGCCTGACTCACCAATGATGGCTGAACCACTTTACCACCAGGTTATTTTTCCTTTGCAGTTATGATTTGCTCATGACGGTAATTTTGTTCCACGTTTTTCAACGATGTTGAAATAAAAGATTTAATAACTGCAGATGTAATAACTTCTTTAAAAAAATAGCCATTTACACTATGATGTTCTGAACGGATACCAAGTAGTCTTTAAACTCTCTGTGACCTTCCTACAAATTGGATATAAGGTTGCTTTCCTAACAACCTTTTATTAATTACAATAGTAACTTTTCCTCAAAGTTATAACAAAGACTGTGATCCTTTCTAACACAATTAGTGCATTTCCATCTCCACCAAAACTTGCTAAATAAAACACAGCTTTCTTGTGCTGAGAGTTGAGTGGTAAGCCAATTACTTTCGAATGTAGCCCTAAATTGGCCTTTTTCGGAAACAACCTTACGACAGAGACGCGTTGTTAAGTCACATCAAAGTGGTTACTTTCCAATTACAGCCTCAGCCTCTGCAATAAGCTCTGTGCCTCCACCCCTGTCATTGTCAGCTCCACAACTAATAGTCTGAGTGCTAGTGATGGTGGGTTCAAACCCTGAAAATGCAGGGTAATTGTGACCTTTCCTCAGGCCATGTCAGGTAAATGACAGCTTAGTTGACTGATGAGGGCTTAGCCATGTGCTACGCCGGTAGCATTTGGTTACTAACAATTCTTTTGACTGCAGATCTGGTTGGTGTAAATGTTGAGTGCAGCCTGGTGTGTGTGTGTGTGTGTGTGTATGTGTGACTGTGTGTATCTGTCTACGTCAAAGAGCCACGGTTCATGGCCCGGGAGGATGGATATGCCATTAGAGCTGGTGACACACACTCAAAACTTCATCGACTCACTATGGGAAATCAATATGGCTGCAGAGCGAGCCAGCTGGATCCAGACTAAACAAGCACCTAGACACAACAACAGCAACAACAATCATAGCAGGTCCAAAAGGGTACTCAATATCATATAGAGTATGTTGCTGCAGGACTGAATGTAAACCACACTTACACACACACACACACACACACACACACACACACAACCTAGAGTCCTACAGACTTAACAGCTTGTTTGATGAACAGCACAAAGGAACATGAGTTGGTGTTCAAGGGTTGTTATCTCAATGTCAAGAGGTTTGTGATATTGAGAAAAGACCCTTATGAATCTTATGAATCATACATTAACCTATACACAGCGGAGTACAAACACAAACAGAAGGGGACAAACACTCAAATACAAACGCGCACACATTATGTGCACACAGTTGCCTAACACAAAGACACTGACCGACTGTGCGGTCTTGATAGCCACGAAGCGATGGTTCCCTTCCTTCCCGCAGACGTAGCCAAAGGCTCGGTGGTCTGTGATGTCCTTGGCAATGTAGGAGATCTCATGGACCGCATGGTGGTGTTGGAGGACCTGAAGGAATGCACAACACAAGATGTTTAATAAATCATGCAGACACAGCTGAGAAACTACAACTTTATTCTTGAGATTATTACTTTTTTTCTTCAATTTTCTTCTTTTCTTCTTCAACAGCAGCCCCACTACTTATAACACACAAATGTAAAATGGGCAGGAAAATAAACAGGGATTTGAAAATAATTTTTCATCTTTCTCAAGTTTGGTGCACTTAATATTTCCTTCGTGCTTCTCTTTGGTACCATGTAAAGCACTTAATTAAAAAAATGTTTTGAAGATAGCACTTCATGAATGACACAGGAATGAGTATGACTAAACTAAGTTTCAGGTGTACAAAAAGTAGCTTTGTTTAGTTAAAAGTTAGGGACATAAACACACTCATTTACACACAAATATACAAAATGTTCATCACTTTTCCAAAAGCCAAAAGAATCCCATGCAAACTCCCTCAAGTGTACACACAGAGACAACCCCTCTCACACAGAGACCTTGTATCCTATATTAAACTGTTTCTAGCTTCCCTGCCCTCTCTAGTTTAGCCTGGGTGGGGAGTGCCAAGCTGGCATCGCCCGTGGCAGATGGCACTGTTTTTCCCGAGGACAGAGGGGGGGGATCAGTGACAATCACAGCTCGGCAAGCTGTCGACTTGATCACTTCATCTGTGCCCTCACTCACAACACACACAAACACACACACACACAAACACAACTCACAACTTAATATGCAATAGCCCTCTGTTAAGTCACACTAAATGTCTGCTTTGTTGTTATTGTCTATGCCAGCTGCATGCTGGGAGCAGAGACACGCAGTCAACATAATGACCCAGTAGCCCTTGAGTGCATGCTAGGGGTTGCAGCTCTATACATCAGAGGCTAAACACACACATCTGCTCTCTTTGAAGCTATTCCAGACGTAAGACATGGCAGAATAGAATGACACCAATTTAACACTGGCGCACAGACATACATAAACACACAGACACACAGACACACACACACTGAGAACCCCAGCAGAAATAGATAATCATTGTATGAGTCATGTCTTCTAGATTTAATAATTAGAGTAATGATTATTATTATCACCTCTGATTGACCTGAAAACGACAGCTAAGGCAGTGTGCACACACACACACA